CCTTGCAAAATAATATATGTATGTACTCCGGATCTAGTCTAAATTCCTTCAACTTTCAGGTCCAGGATCTTGTGTTATCTTTATCTGCTAATTAAAAAGCCAATTATTAATATTTATCTCTGCTTCAAGTCAAACAATTTCCATTTGGCTAAGCTAAAATATCCAAGTTGCAGCTATTGCTCATGGTTGGTTTTGTGTCAGTAGCTGTCCACCGTTGGAAAGGATTGAGGGCGAAGTCACAGCCACTTCTCCCATTGTGGAAAAAGAACTGGAATCAGTTCTTCAAAGGAGGTCTAAGCATCTCTGCCAGTGCCACACAGAGAAGCAGGATCTCACTGAAGCTCCATTCAGTTGACCTTTCATGACAACTGTGGACCACTTCTCATAGTCCCTGGCAACAAAACTGATTTAATAGTGTGCTGCCACCAGAAAAGGGGAAGGGGCTTAGCCTATTGCACATGTGATCGCAACTTTTGCAGAGCATATTGTTTGCCTCTGCCCAGCTGATCACAAAATCCTGAGGGTCTCAGCTCTATGCTCTGTCATCTTAATTTTCATTATGCCATTTTCCATTTTTGTCACATATAAACATTTTAGCTTTAGTGATAGCTCCATTTTTACAGACCACTGACAGGCACATGAAAGACGATAGAATCAGGATCTGATCTCTGTGGGGCTGCTTTGGAGACTTCATTTCACAGGTTAAACTGAGATCTCATTTGGCAGTCTCTAAAGCACTTAATGTGTCATTGTGATTTTGTCATCTCCCAGATATTTTATAAGACTTATCTCCTTTCAAGTAAAGAAGTTTGAGTATTATGCATCAACATTATTATCCTTTAATCAACGAAAATGACTGAAAATACAATGTGAAGCTGCTTCGATAGGATTATTTTCCATAAACACAAATGAACTGGCATTAATTATGCTACTCTTTTAGTTCTTTCTTCAGTTTTGTATTAGCTGTTCCATTATTTTTCCAAGGTTTTATGTCACACTGACAAGCCTATAATTACTTGGGTCATCTCTTTTATTATTTTTAAATATTAGCATGCTAATTTTCTTTTGCTCTCCCAAAACTTCCCCTAGGTTACAAGATTTATTGAAAATCAATATTAATACTCGAGCTTCCAACAGCGCCTTTAAACCTGCTGGATACAGGTTATCCAAACCTGCTTATTTAAAGATGTTTCATTTCCTGTTCCAAAGCAGAAAGGAAACAGCTTCAAAGCCTGGAACACATACAGTTCTTACCCCTCCAAATCAAGGCAGGAAGATCTGGGAATGCTCAAGGTCCCCCTCCACTTGGAATGAGTCATAGAGGGCAATGACAAGAATAATTTCTGCGATCCAGAAGGTGACAAGTGAATACTCTTTGACCTGTAAAGCTGTTAAAACCCAGCTGTTTCTCTTTTAGCAGCTGTGCAAACTGAGATGTGGGCAACCTTAGCAATGCCCACAGTGCACATATCAAATCTAAGATTAGAAATCAGAAGGTCCAAGCCCCTCCATGCCTAAGAAGCATGTTCTATTGGAAGTTCCTCATGCCTATTGGCAGTTCCTCATATATTCACCCCTACATAAACCATAGGTCACAACCAAAAATCACCACATCAAAGCACAAAAAAAAAAAACAATACCCACAACTGTTTTAGTTTATTATCTTTTTACTGGAAACACAGTTAACACTAACTACAAAAAGGGAAGTAAATCAATTAATTGCTGATTTTTTTTATTCCTTCTGAACTGCCTGGGTTATGCCTCAGAGTGAAATTATTTTTTAAGGCAGTCAGCGCACATGGAGTTAGCATGAAGTAAAACTACAAGTAATTTTTAAAATAGGATTATCTGATTATCTATTTTTACATTGTCTTTTTATGGATATAATGGCCAAGAAAAAAAGAGTAGTGCTGCTGACATACATATAAATATTGTGTTGGGAACCTAGAAAAACAGCTGGGGACATTACATGCCAAACTGGAACAGTAAAATATTGAAAAACAAATATCAACCTTGTAAGTTTATCTGTTGTAAGGTTGAACTTCTGAAACATGCGAGTATGCAGGGGCTTAAAAGAATTATGAAGTCAAAGGTAAAAAAAAAGTTTAAAATTTAAATAAATGTCTGATATAGTCTAGTACTAAACCTGTCACACTTCTATATAGCATTTTATGAGATATGTTCAAACAGGAAAGCAACTGAGACCAACTAGTGTCACTGAAAACAAGCTATAATGTTAAAATATTGAATTGCTCTTGGCCAGAGTAGCTAATGTGAGTTATAAATTTGAATTCTGTTCCTTTATGCTTATTGCCTGGAAATGTAGAATGATCCACAATAAGAAGGGTATATATAAATTGAACACTGTATTTGCTTCTTTGTGATTTAGCATTCTAAAATACTCAAAAGAACGGCTGCATTAAGAGAACACCAAATGACTCAGATTCAAAAGATTGGCATTATCATATCTAAGATTGCTTTTATAGTGTTAATTCAGCTCAACTGTGTGAGTCCCTTTCCAAACAGAGGGTCATTTAATGAGAGTATTTTTTTTCAGAAGACCTCTATCTCACTTAGATCTGGGAATAAGTCAACAGTTTGCGTTGAAGAAGACACTAAATGTGAGGTAGCTAATCCCCCATTTTCTGCAAAATTGAAATTTGATGTAGTGAATAAGGTAGCACTTGCAGAAGGGGTGCTGAATTAAGGAATTTGAATATTGCCCAGAATTCAGACTTTGGACCTGATTCTCCATCAATGGTTCTCCATTATGGTGGTTGATATGAACTGAAGGATCTCTGGAAAAGCAACAAAATTCATTTGTCATTCAACCGACACATCAGCTTAATTTACTTTCTGCAAAGCAAAGATGATACCACTGATTCAACTCATGAGAATAAAGATAAATCAGTGGTTGCTGCGAAGTGCTCAGATGCCGACCTGAGAAACACCTTAGAAAAGTCTGAAAGAAATTAATAACGTTTATCAAGAACAGCATCTGAGCAGAGAGTGATAAATAAAGTGCAAGGTCACACACAGAAATGGGAAGAAAATAACAGCGAACTACCTGGACGCCGTCCATTCCATCCAATAAATGGGATAAGGGTATATTGAAAGAATAGTTTATGATCTGATAACCAAAGGCCATTGTAAGGTGCCTTCACAGAGGGGGCAGGTTAAGTTTGCACAGGCAGTTTTAATTCTGATCTGTTATCTTTTTATCTTTGCTGATCCTTTGGCAATGATCATTAAACTGTGGGGTATGTACATGCTTGTTTATGTGCCTTTTCCTAGATTTTTTTTATAAAGGAAAAACTAACTACTTTGTATTAAAAAAAGATACATAGAATCATAGAATCATAGAATCATAGAATGGTTAGGGTTGGAAAGGACCCTTAAGATCATCTAGTTCCAACCCCTCTGCCATGGGCAGGGATGCCTCACACTAGACCAGGTCACCAAAGGCTCTCTCCAACCTGGCCTTGAACACTGCCAGGGATGGAGCATTTACCACTTCTTTTGGGCAACCTGTTCCATAGGTGCAACTTATTTCATATTACATTTCATTGGGACTTTTGAGTTCCCTAATTTGTTGAACTGCTAAACCTCCAAATTTGAAGTTTGTATCATTAATCGGTATATGCTCCAATTACCCAAACATACCCTGATATATATATTCACTAGGTAATCAGCCCCTTATGGAATTCAGGTGTATAAACAAGCTCAATAGATATACTGACATGAAACTACATGGGAATTACACATCCAGTTGAGCAACATCCCCCTGATGTCTGCTTTTTCTAACCATGTGGTCTACAATACAATATTATTGCCCCTTACACTTTTTTTTTATGACTCCTGTTTTTATTTACCCGTTAAAACATGGGTTTAAATAAGTGACTTGATCAAGACTGCCAGGCACCATACCTGCATTTACAAATCCCCGACTGGTGCTTTAGTCACAGTAAAATCTTTCCTTCCATTTAATGAGCACTAGAATTCAGTTCTTAAAATATTACTCGTATAAAATGCTGGCAAGTCTTGGGATTTTTTTTTTGTTTAAATAACAAGAGAAACGTTATTTCTGATAGCAATATTAAGTGAAACTAAACATTGATTCCTGCCTTGCTTTCAGCAGAATCCACTCTCTGGCTCAGCTGTATTCACTTCAATTGCATGGATTTTTGCTCCTACAGCATTTTAAAAGGTCTAATTTTTATTTCAAATTTTCATTCTGTATACATTACCAGCTGTGAGAAAAGCCACTTTCTTCATGTATTTTTTTTCATTCAGGGGCTTGTTCTAGTGCAAAGTCAAATCCCCTTAAACCTTCAATTGGTTCCTAGCATTCTTAATGGTTACCCCATACTCTGGATAGCTATATATAGTCTTTATTGTATAAAGTCTTTATTGCTCTGATGTCTAAATTTCTGATATATCAGGGAATTGAATCTTCCAGCAAGATTTTTCTTCATTCTACTGTGTTACAACGCAATGCTCTGTAAAACTTTCACCAATATATCCAGCAACCCAGAATGTCATGGTTTAAGAGAGATGCTAGTCTGGAGCCATCTACTGGTCTTATTGCTGAGATTTAATAGATAAGCATATATCAATAGATTAATCACTTTAGTATGTGATGTTCCTTGTGTACTGGTTCTTTGTTTCTAAGTTAAAAAATTAATGAACTTTATATGGTGTAAATATAAAAAAAATTATCTTGCTTTCATAAACAAAATTAAAATGGAAGGGAGGGGCCTAAAAAAAGCTCTTACTACTCAACAGCACTGAAAGGAAACCAAGGAATAAGGCAATATTAATCTTAAGATGTAAACAATCCAGATACCTTTAGTTTTATTGCTGTGATGAATAGAATAAGTTATTCTTATTGCCTTATTAGGTGCTTTGCAACATTTTACCCTGAATTTGTATGTCATGTTCTAGAATAGCTGAAATGCACCACGTACAGTTTGCTTGGGAATAAAAAAGGTCTCAGTCAATTTTATTATGTTCTTCAAAGGTTTTTATTAAAAATAAATTCAGACAAAAAAGGTAGCAGATGAACAGAAGTATAAAGCCTTTAGAAACAGAAGTGCTAATAAATGAGCTACTATGAACTAAAAATAATCCAGACAATTTCATTTGGAATCGAAAAGTATATTTACATAATGGCAATGTTTAGTATGTACTTACGCATTTATTAGATAATAGTATTGATAATTTGTGCTGTAATTAAGTAATTTTTCTATTATTGCAAGAATATATGCAACAAGCAATTCTGTCTTCAGGAGCAAGGGAGAGAACTCTACAGATTTTACCAGCTTGAGAGAAATTCTTTGCACCTATTAAATAAGTGTACATATATATCTACGTACCTGTAGATAGACACATGTACACATAAAGATATATAGATATTAACTCATTATGCTAATGTCTATAGATTAAAATGCATATATTTACATACATATATATACCAGCATGTATACATACAAGTGCATGTATACATACATATAAGTGCATGTATACATGTATGCCATATATATATATTTATCTATATACACACACACACATGCATGCACACTCATGTACATCTGCATATCACACCTATCATCTAAACTCTGCCTTCTACAGTTTCAGTTAAACAAAATCCTCTGTGGGCTCTCAGTTGTACCAGGATTAAACACCTGCCATTATTCACATTTGCCCTCAGCAGATCCATCGGCAGGGGAGACTTCCAACAGGAGCTGTAAGTGGCAAGTAATTTTATCAAGAAATGAAAAATGCAGTTTAAAATGTATGAAAGGCAGATAAACAATAAGACTTCCCAGCATAAACAGGAAAGCATAAACATATTGCAGATTTGGAGACCAGACTATGGGAGCTAAAACTAAGAAGAAAGACATTGCCACCATCACAAACGGAACTGGTAGAAACACCTGCAAGAGAAAGAAAAAAAAATTGGTTTAGGAAATAAACTGACCAACTGTGATTTTATGCCTTCATAAGAGTAATAATGTGTTCTTTGCCACACTAGTGTACCATTTATCCTACTGCTGCAATCTCACCCAGGACAAGATTCATCTGACCTCAAATTGCCTACAAGATAGGCATCTTTTCTAAAACACTTGTTCAGGCTCCTTCTGTCATCAAAAGGGTGAGATAGGCAGTACCTGAAAATCATTTGTCCACATATGATATTATGGGCTCCTAAAAGATTCTCAGGGTTGGGTGCCTAAAAGCAGCCTTCACAATAAGCATACACTTCTACCACAGCTTTCTAACAGCTGGACTGAGAGGAAATTAAACCTCTCCTTAATGTCTGTGGTGCCATCAGGAAAGAGTGGAGTAGATCAAGGTTTAACTAGCCATGAATAGCCAGTCTGGATGCCACATTTTTCTGGTTACTGCTCCACACTAGTACAGTTTCAATGTTGTTTGCACATATCCCCCATTCTGCATATATCCAACTCTTGTTTTCAAGTGCAGAGTCTCTGGGGCAGAGACCATCTGCTCATTTCTGTCTACAGTAAAGCAAACGTTTTAAGTAAGGTTCTAAAACACTGATCATTTGTATTTTTGTAGTGACTATCCACTTCTGACTTGCACTTGTTCTGCAACTTCTGCACACTACCCATGACTCAAAAAAATCTGCCAATACTCTTTGTAGCTTTTTCCATTTACTTTGTACGGGCGATGCAGATGAGGTTCCCGGTATCGAAGTACAATCAGGCTTGCACAAGTCAATCCAGTCATAAGCCAGGCAGAAAATCCGAAGTAATTTGTTAACATAATAAGGTCAGAAGGGATGATAAAAATGGATGCAATGGTGGTTGAAAAAATCATGGCTGGTGCTGGAGTACAGGAATGGATGTTAAGCATGGACATTAAAACAGGTAGATGTCCTGACTGACTTCCAGCATAGCTTAAACGACCTAGTGTGAACATGCTGCTGTTGAGGGCACCAAATATTGAGACAGCAACAGAGAGAGGAATGATCCAGGCAACAGAGGGGATCACTCGATCAGCCCAAGTGACTGCCACAGCAACTGCAAGAAAGCAAAGCATTAGTGCAGTGTAGGTACCATGTTCTGAATTACTGGTAGACTCAACAGAAACAAAATTTAAAGTACAATACCTATTGTTTACCAGCAATGCCTGTTTTTTGTTACAGTAGTCAAACATGACTAACCTAATCCTACCAACAAAGGAGCTAAAAATTTCCAGGGGAGGGAAGGGATGACAGCAAGAAAGGAGTAGTGCCTGCCAGAGCAAGCCATGTAAACATACCACAATAATAGACTGCCCAGTGGGAGAAAGCTGCACCTCACCCCCATGCATCACAAACATATGCACATGGGCAAGGCCATGAGGGCAAAGAAAATGAAGTCCCCAGCATGGCCACAGTAGTGACATGATCTACTGTTAGGAAACTGCCAACACAAGCAGCGCATGTATGCACAGAGATGGGTCAGCAAGTGTGTAATTAATGAGGTTTTGCTTTGGGTCAAACTGGGAAATGTGAAAGATTATTTCTGAATGACGGATGTTCAATATTGTTTAAAAATTAGCTATAGCCCATACTGTAGCAAGGAATAATATTTAGTGGTTTTATAACCAACTGCCTTGAGGAATATAGGTCCTGCAGTGATCTGCACAGCACAGGAAGTGTTTAGAGATGGGGAAAACACACACCACAAAAAAAATGTAATGAAGGAACAGCAACTCACAGCAATGACTGAAAGAAGCATTATAATGTTAAGGCCATCTCCTCACCTGATACAGACAAGCACAGCTCCTCTGGTATGTTTGGAGCTGGTCATGCCAGCTGGGCAACTGCTATGCACAGATACTCTGCCTCTTTCATTGTAGGATGGGTCTGCAAATGTATCCATCTCTCCCAGCAGGTAGCCTGACAATGGCTGAGTGATAATATTGCTGAGTGACAGCTACTCCACTCCCATTTATGTTATTGAGATGTTTTCCCAGGGGATTTGTTTTTTGTCACTCCTGAAGGCAAGGTCTGATAGCTCACCCTCATTAGAGTGGTATTTAAAAGCTGCTGTTTGGGCAATCAAGGACAAATACAGCTCCTCTCAGACCTTTTCACGGACAGCGTACTGGTACAGGATCTGAGAGAGGCTTTACATACACTGGACTTTTGTATAGGCTCTTCTAAGGAATCACAGTATTTACTATAAATTATACACACACAAGATGGCTATGTTATTGTGCCCAGTCTTTTTCATATTACTTATCACACCAGACTTGTCCACCTCCTAAACAATAATGGCTTTAGCCTGAACCACCAGGTATGGAAGGAAGGAAGGAGGAGAGAAGATTAAAACTACAGGAAAACAAAGGCCTTCTCTATACTCAGCAGAGACTTGATCTTCACCTGATATTCCAGGGTTTAACACAATTCTGATTTCTTTTTAGACAGTGCAGGTAAAAGCCAAAATTTTCAACACCTAATAACATCTGTCTGTATTCAGTCCAATTTGTGTCATACAGCAAAATTAAACAAGAATTCTCTGTTAGAACGAAGCCCAAACTTCTGGACTGTGAAGTCAGATGAGGAGAAGTAACCCAAACCTGGTAAACTAACATCAGATGGGTATGCTAATGGACAACACATTTTTAATAAAAAAAAAAACACCATACCTGAAGAGACAATTTCCTTAGGAGTGAGGACAGTCAGATATGAGATGTTCACCAGTAAATAAAAAACCATTACTGCAGGAACAGCAGTCATCACAGTTAAAGGGATATTCCTGCTAGGGTTTTTCATCTCCTCTGAAAAATACAATTTAAAAAGACTAATAAAGCAAGCAGTGTAGCTTCTGCAAGTGTGTTTCAGTAGTGAATCTGCACAGAGCTTCATGAGACCAATACCAAAGCCCTGCTCCAATCCCTAATCACAGCTGCTGAGCTACATTGCTTGTGTTGTTCTGCAGTGGTTCTCAAAGGATTTATTAGTCTAAACCTTTTTTTTTTCTCTCTTCTTATTTAACTATATTTTCTCACTATCTTGGAAGGAGGGATGGATGAGAGGTCTGACAGACTGACTAAAAAAAATCACAAAAGGACTGATATCTTTGATTTGATTAAACAAGTATTTTAGTTACATTAGAAAACTGATTTGATAATAAACATTAAAGCAGCTGTAAAATCACTAGCTTAAACGTGATACTCTAAAGTCAAATTATTTACTGTCATATCACCTCATGAGTCCTGATCTGGAACTTTTTGAGTGTATTTTCCTATTCCTGCACAAAACCCTTTTCTTTGTTCCGGTATCAGGAACTAGAGAAAAAGTAACAGGAGGGACTGAAGGTACTGACAGAATACATGCAATGCAGTAGCTTTAAAAGGTCATTCCCAGCTGTATTCTGCTCTTGATTATCTGCGCTAGCAGCCCAGAAAGCTAACCATATCCTGGGCTGCATCAAAAGGAGCGTGACGAGCAGGTTGAAGGAGGTGATACCACCCCTCTACTCTGCTCTCGTGAGACCTCACCTGGAGTATTGTGTGCAGTTCTGGTGTCCTCAACATCAAAAGGACATGGAACTGTGGGAACAAGTCCAGTGGAGGGCCACGAGGATGATCAGGGGACTGAAGCACCTCCCCTATGAAGATAGGCTGAGAAATCTGGGGCTGTTCAGCCTGGAGTAGAGAAGGCTGCGTGGAGACCTCATAGCAGCCTTCCAGCATCTGAAGGGGGCCTATAGGGATGCTGGGGAGGGACTCTTCATTAGGGACTGCAGTGATAGGACAAGGGGTAACGGGTTAAAACTTAAACGGGGAAGTTTAGATTGGATATAAGGAAGTTCTTTACTGTGAGAGTGGTGAGGCACTGGAATGGGTTACCCAGGGAAGCTGTGAATGCTCCACCCCTGGTGGTGCTCAAGGCCAGGCTGGACAGAGCCTTGGGTGACATAGTTTAGTGTTAGGTGTCCCTGCCCATGGCAGGGGGGTTGGAACTAGATGATCTTAAGATCATTTCCAACCCTAACTATTCTATGATTCTTCCAAGGCAATGCTGGTGGAAGAAAAATGTTTAGTGCTAAGCCTGGCATCTTAGCTTAAAACTACCCTCACCAAATAAGAAATAACTTCAGTTTTGCAGCTAAACAACTGAAGCACTGGCATGCATTCCTGACCATGTGATAGTCCCAGCAAAAGATGGACCTGGTTTCCAGAAGCAAAGTAATTCATCCTCATGTCAGTCAAAATGAGTATTTTTCATCCCTTCCACTCCCGCCATTCACTTTTGCTCCCTCTCCCCTTCCTATTTCTCTCAGCTTTTACAGACGACTTCCCGAGTATTAGCAACAAATAATTTACAAGGGGGAAGAAGTGGAAAATCAAATGTGCAGCTTACTTAGATCTTTTTAGGACACAAAACTCCCTTTCCTCCCTCAAATATAATTTGTTTCCTGCTCAGAACACCAGCTTTGAGCCTGCACTAGCACTGGCTGTAGTGCACAGAGCCAGAGGGACTGAATGGGCACAACAGAAGAATCCAGATACAGACTATAGGAGAACTTGGGATTTATTTCAAATGTAGGAAATACACTTGGTAATTTTGAGCCCAGACGAGGACAATCACCAAACCTGCCAATTTCAATTTATCTTTCCATTTGTCTTGCTGTTTGCTGCAGTCCTGCTGTCCAGCTGGCACCTGATGCTTTAGCTGCAGCTCATGGGAATGAAGTTATTGCTGAAGAATAGGCAATTCAGTTCAGAAGGGGACTACTGCGTAGGTTGGATCTGTCTAAACAGCTGTGCTGCCCAGTGTGTGGTACTTATTGCTGCTGCTAACTAACCAGAAACTAAAGTAATATTTTACCCATAATTTGTATTGTCTCAGGCTTGCAAAGCTAAATGCTTGCCTTTAAGGAAATACTAAGACTTTAAATATATACTTTGCTGACTTCTATCAACTTTTCTACTGCAGCATACTGTTAATGCTGTAATAGCTGGACTGTAATAATAACAGTCATTGTTTTAAACATTAATCCCATTTTCACACTGTGCTCACCACTGAACTTTGTTATAGTTTCACACAATTTATTTAATGATTTACATGTGATAGAGGCAATGGATAAATAGGGTCAAAGATATAAAAGCAACATCCACTTGCTTATAACTTAATTCTATAAATCTGATGATACTGTAAAACACTAACTTGCATAACTAGTATCAGGAACATAATCTGCAGCTTTCAAAAACTGCTCTATTTATTACTGTGTCATCACATACACAATAAGGTAAGTAAATAGATATTTGAAAAGGTTTTGAATCTTTGAATAGAGATTATACAGAATTATTTATACCACTTCCCTTTGATTCTTCTTCACTTCCTGTGCAAAACTCTCATTTTCCCAAGAAAGTGACTACTGACCATCTTATATATTACTGTATTTCAACACAATTCAAAATTAATTTCTCCACATACAAATCAACTGCATAACCTAAGAGAAGGTACAGATATTTAAATACAAATTAATCAATTACTTTTCTTTGGTTTGGTTTTAATGTGCACATAATTTGGCATGGATATCTTAATCCTTTTCTAATAATGCACTTGCATTGACACTGAGAAAGACAAAATGCAGCTTTCTGATGTATGAAAAAAAATCTGTTCACACACAAAATTTTAAGTTAACCGTTTTGATTTTACTTGTACTCCTCTGGAAATGTCAGTCTGATTCCGGAGACTGCACAAGAAGCAAGAAACTTCCTTAGAGAGGAAAAACACTTTTTTTAACAGCCTCAACAAATACAGGACTTGTATAGAATGTCAGAGACCCTACAGTCATGAAGGAGAGACGGATTCTACCAAGATGAGCTGATGAACTTAAGAATGGCAACTGGAGAACAAAATCTAAAGAAGAGGAGTAGATACCTGCCATATAATTGAGGGACCACCAGCCACCGTAAGCATACAGTCCTTGGAAGAAGGCTTCGGCAACCTGTGATGCACCGGGGATCTCTGAGCTGAATGCGTCCTCAAACCTCAACAGACTCTCCCTTCTCCCGCCAACAAGGAGAACAATGCCACCGATGGCAATTACAGACAAGGCCATCATCTTCAGCAGAGTGAAAACTGTCTGCACCCATGCAGCCATTTTAACGCTGCGGCCATTCAAAATCCCCAGGGACCAGAGAACGGCCAAGGCCAAGCATTTCTTCACCACTTCTGGTGCAGGACAAGCACCATAGAAAGGCTGGGTGGCATATTCAGCAAACAGCAAAGCTCGAGCAGCATTCGATGCTGGCTTGGTAACTGTTGACGTCCAGATAAACACAAAAGCAGGCAGGGATCCAAGGCTTCTTTTAATGTGGCTGTATTCTCCTCCAGAGAAAGGCAGAGCAGTTCCCAGCTCCGCATAGCAGAGGGCACCCATCAGAGAAACCAGCCCAGACGCAGTCCAGATCGTTAGTGCAACGCCAACGTTGAGTAAGGAATGCTTTAACACCCCAGTGGGAGAAACAAAGATCCCTGCCCCAACAATTGTTCCTATAATAAAACTTACCCCATCAAAATAACCTATATTTCTTTTGAGTTGCATCTTGGATTTTCCTTTTCTCATCACATCTTTGGGGACATCACTTTTTCTTTCTCCCATTTTTTCCGTTTTTTTTTCCCGCAGATGATGGATGCTATGTATTTCCCTTTCAGTTCGTTGTTAGCAGACTGTCATGGCCCTACTTGCTAGTGAAATGTTCTGGGAAGTCTGGCTTAATCATTCAGAAAAGAGAGTATACTTTGGGTTTTGATGTCTCCTGTGCGAAGATGATTAACCAAAAACTTCAAGAAAAACTGGCAAATCACGTACATGTTGGTTTAATATGTACTTCAGAAATTACTAAGGTCTGGAGGTATTTTAAAGAAAACGACACAAGTAATACACAGTAAATGCTCATTTCTCAGCTGATTTTCATAAACGGATTTCAATTTTTTTTTTAATTTATGTCTTCAGAGATAACTGCAAGAGGTGGGTAAATGTGACCTCCGCATCAGGGTAGGGCAGCATGAAAAAAGAAATCAGCCCTCCTTATGTTACTGACAGTGACACGGACATTAGCTGCCAGTCACTGTGTATACTGGAGCTTGTTTATACTTCACTCATTAAATGCTGCCCTAGAAAGAAAATTACCAGTTTATACCCAGTTTTTCTTGAGGACTCATCATTATAGTAGTACCCATGCACCTCCTAAGCAGGACTTAACTAATTAATTCAGACACGGCTATGAGGGGAAAGAACTGTACTGTTGTTTCCACTGTCTGTCTGGGGGCCATGGAACAGAAGGGTGAAGGCTGAAATTTCCCACTGTTCTGGTGTGTGCCTTTTAAGGTGCAGCCACTGATTCTTCCATGTATTTAACAATCTGTGGTGTATTTTATGTCAGAATACAGAAAAGGTACTTCTCTTCAATAGTATGTGGATATACCATCACCACAAACTTCTGCCTCAAGAAAAATGTATTTATTCTTTTTAAAAGATGCAGAGAAAAATGGGAAGAAAGCAGGAAACTGAAAAAGAAGCTCAGCATATACTTAAGAGTAAATATTGTTAAGTGCCCTAACCAGTAACTGCAAAGTTAACACAGTATCACAGTATCACAGTATGCTGGAGATTGGAAGGGACCTCAAAAGATCATCTAGTCCAATCCCCCTGCCAGAGCAGGAACACCTAGATAACGTTACACAGGAATGTGTCCAGGCGGGCTTTGAATGTCTCCAGGGAAGGAGACTCCACAACCTCCCTGGGCAGCCTGTTCCAGTGTTCCGTCACCCTCACTGAGAAGAAGTTTCTTCTCAAGTTTAAGTGGAACCTCTTGTGTTCCAGTTTGCACCCATTACCCCTTGTCCTATCATTGTTTGCCACTGAGTAGAGCCTGGCTCCATTCTCGTGACACTCCCCCTTTATATATTTATAGACACTAATAAGGTCACCCCTCAGTCTCCTCTTCTCTAAACTATAAAGACCCAGCTCCCTCAGTCTTTCCTCATAAGGGAGATGCTCCACTCCCTTAATCATCTTGGTTGCCCTGCGCTGGACTCTCTCCAGCAGCTCCCTGTCCTTCTTGAACTGAGGGGCCCAGAACTGGACACAATATTCCAGATGGGGTCTCACCAGGGCAGAGTAGAGGGGAAGGAGGACCTCTCTCGACCTACTAACCACCCCCCTTCTAATACACCCCAGGATGCCATTGGCCTTCTTAGCCACAAGGGCACAGTGTTGGCTCATGGTCATCCTGTCGTCCACTAGGACCCCCAGGTCCCTCTCCCCTACACTGCTCTCTAGCAGGTCGTTCCCCAACCTATACTGGAACCTGGGGTTGTTCCTGCCCAGATGCAGGACTCTACGCTTTCCCTTGTTATATTTCATCCAGTTATTCCCTGCCCAACTCTCCAGCCTGTCCAGGTCTCGCTGGATGGCAGCACAGCCTTCTGGCGTGTCAGCCACTCCTCCCAGCTTAGTGTCATCAGCAAACTTGCTGATAGTACACTCAATTCCCTCATCTAAATCATTGATGAATATATTAAATAATACCGGTCCCAGTACTGACCCTTGAGGCACTCCACTAGTTACAGGCCTCCAACTAGACTCAGCCCCATAGACTACAACTCTCTGGCTTCTCTCCTTCAGCCAGTTCGCAGTCCACCTCACTACCTGGTCATCCAGTCCACACTTCCTCAATTTAGCCGTGAGGATGCTGTGGGAGACTGTGTCAAAGGCTTTGCTGAAGTCAAGGTAGACCACATCCACCGCTCTGCCATCATCCATCCACCGTGTTATTTCCTCATAAAAGGCTAAGAGATTGGTCAAACATGATTTCCCCCTGGTGAAGCCATGTTGACTGCCCCTCATAACCCTCTTATCCTTGATAAGCTTTAAGATGGCACCAAGGACAAGGTGTTCCATCACTTTCCCAGGGATGGAGATGAGGCTGACCGGTCTATAGTTACCCGGGTCCTCCTTCTTGCCCTTTTTGAAGACCGGAGTGACATTTGCCTTCCTCCAGTCCTCAGGCACCTCTCCCGTTTCCCAGGACTTGGTAAAGATGATGACGAGTGGTCTAGCAATGACTTCCGCCAGTTCCCTCAGCACCCGCGGGTGCATCCCATCTGGACCCATGGATTTATGGACGTCCAGATTGCTCAACTGATCTCTAACCCATTCCTCATCGACTAAGGCAAGTCGCTCCGTCGACCTGACTTCATCTAAGGTCTCAGGGGTACAGGGCTCTTCAGGACTGCCTGCAGCAGAGTAGACAGAGACAAAGAAGGCATTCAGTAACTCTGCCATCTCTGCATCTTCTGTCACCAGGGCACCCATCCCGTTCATCAGTGGGCCTACATTGCCTCTGGTGTTAGTTTTGTCTGCCATGTACTTGAAAAAGCTCTTTTTGCTGTCCTTGACCCTTCTTGCCAGGTTTAATTCTAAGGAAGCCTTAGTCCTCCTAGCTGCCTTCCTACATCCCCTAGCAGCAGCCTTATATTCCTCCCAAGTGGCCAGCCCCTCCTTCCATGACCTGTAAACTCTCCTCTTCCACTTGAGCATACCCAGCAATTCCCTATTTAGCCACACAGGTCTCTTGGCCCTCTTCCTTGACTTCCTACGTGTCGGGATGCTCCGATCTTGAGCACGGAAAAAGCAGTCCTTGAATGTCAACCAACTATCTTGGGCCCCTTTTCCTTCAAGCAGCCTTGCCCATGGGATTTCCCCTAGCAATTGCTTGAAAAGGCCAAAGTTTGCCCTGCTAAAGTCCAGGGTTGCAATTCTACTTGGTATTCTACTGGTCCTACCACACAAGATCCTGAACTTCACCATCTCGTGGTCGCTGCAACCAAGGCAGCCCTCTACCCTTACTGCTTCAACCAGACCCTCCTTGTTAGTGAGGATGAGATCCAGCAGCGCTCCTCTCCTGGTCGGCTCATCCACCATTTGCAGGAGGAAGTTATCATCCACACACTGGAGGAACCTCCTGGACTGCGGCTGGGTTGCCGAGTGGTCCTTCCAGCAAACATCAGGGAAGTTAAAATCCCCCATGACGACCATGGCCTGTGACTGTGAGGCCTCTCTCAGCTGCCTGTAGAAGGCCTCGTCAACTTCCTCACCCTGATCTGGTGGTCTGTAACAGACACCTACAACAGTATCCCCCCTGCCAGCCTGCCCCTTAAAGTTCTTACTTTTTGTGTCGTTGTGGAACCAGTTTTGTCCCAAAGGTCAAAGAACAGCAATGAAGAGAATAAAACTCATGGCTTTTACAGAGCCCAGCTTGAAAGACACAGATCAGGTCTGAACAGAAGTATTTTCACTCAAGTACAAAATAAATTCATCTGAAAAGTTAGGTTTATGTAATATGCCATGATGTAAAAACACCTTTAGTTAAGAGACATGAGCACAGGCTTTTTAGTTCTTAATTTTTTCAACGACTTGGTTAAGGTGGGTTTCCAGCACCACACAGAAACCATGCAGCATGGTCACTGATAGAATCCATGGCTCCAGAGCAGCTTTTACCCATAAGACAATATCTCTATCTTCTGCAAATCAGTGCAGCACTCACGATATACTTTCACCTTTGCAAAATCCTTTTCAATCAGTATTTCAAACATAGTATTGACTTATCCCTGTATCATTCTGAATCCTTTAAGGGGAGAGGATGTAGCAAAACCTAGAACCTAACTTGTCTTGCAAAGTTTTGATAAATACTCTGCTTTGTTGTCTCCAAAGAAGCTTCCTGCTGCTGCTAACTCACCGAGAATAAAGAAGAGGAACAAAGAAAAAAAAAAATAAAGATGCCTTCTAGGAAAAAACAGTCACAAATATTGTTTCTTGGCATACATCAAGGGACATACTGTATTTACTATGACTGGCAAATTTTATTTATAATCTTCCTGGGTTTTCCCCTCTTCTTTAGGCCACATTTTGTTGGGAATACAACACTTCAAAGTAGTTTCCTTTGTCTTGCCTTCTGAAAGGAGTTCAACAGCTATTCAAGGATTTCCACAAGTAACATTAGATAGAATCAGACATCTCAGGGTTGGAGAACTCTGGAAATCATCCAGTCCAACCCCCAAAGCCAGTTTACAATTTACCATACCAAACCCCTTGATGTATTCTCAACTTTAATTTAGAAAATGAGTCTCCACACAGAGGCACTTGACAATCTACTCCCTTGGAAATACTCTTTTTTCCTCCTGGTACTCTGCCAAATTTCTTATATATCTGCCTTGTACTAAAAGTCTTAAGGATCCGTCTCCTTCCCTGACAGATATATCATTCTAATTTCACTACTATTCAAGAAACAGTCCCCAACTGGTAGTCAGCTAATGGGAAATTACAAAACATGGGGAAGTCAGAGTTTTGATATGCTACAATGTATACCTGCATCCTACACAGCTCTCCTTACTAGCCATAGTTCATTTCAGTATTTGCCTGATAAAATATCTATATAAGTACATTTGCATGAGCTGCTCTATGCATTCCTTGCTGGGCTGTAGTGTGTGAAGGAAAGTCTGATGGAATTTTGCAGTAACAGCTATTAATAACCAGTAGCTGGTGAGCATGTCCAACAATAGCACATATCTGTGTAAATGCAAACGTTTAAAAACCAAGCATCCACGCTTTGTGAAGACTTCCCCTGCAGTAAAGAGCAAGAGATGGGTTAAGACCCATTCACTCCCAGCAACAGCTGTATGAACTGCCCACTGGAAATGACACCTCTTCTACTTTTAGATGGCTTGATGAATCCACCCCTCATCAGGATGGGCTTCCATTTTCCAAATCAAATGTTCCATAATGCACTGTAAACTTATACAGCAATGCCATGGTGCCCTTAAAAACAAAGCCATTCATGAATCAATGTCAATATGGTATTGTAAAGGGGGTACTACAATAGCACCGATATTAAAAAGCATCCACAGTAACCAGTCCAAGTAAAAAGCCTATTACAACATGTACCCAGCCTTACTAAAATTCACCGCTATATTTCTCTTCAAAGTCCTAGCCACAATGTAACCAGTGTCCTGTCACTAGCTATGGTCACCCAGAGGCTCTCCCCAGCCACGCAGACATACCATATTGAACATGATCCCCTACTCGTGCCCAGCAGAATCCCCCAGCAGCTCAACCCATCCCTTGGATTGTTTCAGGATCCAGCGGGAGTCACGCCACGCACAAACACAGGGGTGGAAACCCCAGATTTCAGCACCCTGCCCCTGAGCGGACATGACACGGGCAAGTACCGAGCCGATACTCCAAGTGATGCCAGAGCTTCAGGGGGCTATGAATGCCTCCTCTACAAAGGTGCTTTGTGACTGCTGCCGATGTAGAGCCGAGCCAGATCTGCTGAGCCAGTGGCGAGCTCTGAACCACGACTGCAGTAAACTCTTAATACTGTATCAGTTATAAAAATATCCAAAGCCCCAGACAGCTCGCTGATGGGAATTCACTGCAGCCGTCCGTATGAACCCAGTTCCCACGAGGAACGACGAGGGAAGCACAAGATCAGCGCCAAAACGACGCCCGCCCACAAGCGGGCCGCGAGCTCTCCTGCCGCCTTGCGCATGCTCCGATTGCCCTGCCTCCCTCCGCTGAGCCTGCCCCCAGCGCTGCTTTGCGGTGGGGTTGTGAGGAGTTTTGTGTTCTAGCCGTAAAGCACAGACTGCCGCCGTTGGGAAGGGAGGGAAGTTTGAAGTAAAGCGGTGTTTTGTACGAGTAAGCGGCGGTATGGAGGGGGAACGCGCTATCCCTGGAGAGCTCTACCTCGTGGATAAGGGGATTCAGAGGTGAGGAGCTTGTCGGAGTAAGCATGGGGAGCTGGGCCCCTGGGGTGAGGGGAGGTTGCGGGGAGCTGGGTCCTTGGGGTGAGGGAATGCCGTGACGCGGTGCTGGGGGAGCAGCCCGAGAATGAAGCTGCCTGGCTGATGACAGGTGCCTTTCCTTGATAGCTTGCTGGAGGTCTCCCCGAGCTCAGAGCTGCACACCCTCAATGTGCACTGTAACCGCATCACCAGGATCGAAGGTCTGGGTCATCTCTGGAACCTGCAACATTTAGACCTGTCGTCAAATCAAATCCACCGGATCGAGGGGCTAAGTTCCCTGGCTAATCTGCGCACCCTAAGCTTATCCTGTAACCTGATAACGAAAGTGGAGGGTCTGCAATATTTATTTCTGTCCATTTAGCAACAAATGAAGCTTTTCTAGGAGCTGTGTTAAAGCTTGGTTCTGGAAAGTATATACATAATTAAGGTTATATGAACTTAGTTGAACTACTAACCACATTATGATGTAAATTTTAAAAAGGGTTGTCCTGCTTTCAGCTGGGATAAAGTTAATTTTCTTCCTAGTAGCTGGCACAGAGCTGTGTTTTGGCTTTAGTCTGAGAACAATGCTGATAACACACCAATGTTTTAGTTTTTGCTAAGTAAATGCTTAGCCCAATCAAGGACTTTTCATTCTCTTGTGCTCTGCCAATGAGGAGGGGCACAAGAAGCCAGGAAAGAGCAGAAACAGGACACCTGACCCAAACTACCCAAAGGGGTATTCCATACCACAGCATATCATGCCCAATATGTCAACTGGGGGGAGTTACCTGGAAGCGACTGAATGCTGCTCGGGTCAAACTGAGTATCGGTCTGCAGGTGGTGAGCAGTTGTATAGTGCATCACTTGTGTTTATGGTTTTCCCTTTCCCTTTTAGTTTTATATTCTCTCCCCTTGTTATTTCCCTTGGTGTTATATTGTACTTTAGTTATTAAACTGTTCAGATCTCAACTTGTGAGGTTTACATATTTTTGATTCTCCTCCCCATCCTGCCTGGAGAGAGGGGAAGAGGCAGGGGTCAGTGAATGTCTGTGTGGTATTTAGTTGCTGGCTAGGCTTAAACCACAACAAGACTACGTAGTCTCTGTAAGCTTTATCATAGCAAAATGCCTTAATTTAGAAGGTAAACCTGATTTTTATACTGTGATTGTAGTTCACTGTCATAATTTGTAGTTAGGATTTTTGAAAGTTGCTCTGCAAGTTTTGATTTGATCAAAGCAGAACATTCTTTTGAATATCTTGCTGTTTCTTTTTTCCCTCATTTTGTTTAGGACTGGAAAAACTCTGTAATTTAACTATGCTGAATTTGTCATATAATCACATACATGATCTCTCTGGTAAGTGACTTTAGTATGTACAGTGCAATAAAAAGCATTTGCCTCACTTTAGTTTTGACCAAGTATATTTTTAAAAGTTTCCAGTAGTTCAGCCAGATCCTGAGTAATGCTGTGAAAGGTGGCAATTCCTCTGAGTACTCGCAGCTTTCAAGTTCCTAACATTAAGGGTTGTTCTGAACTGGAATTTATTCTATATGTGGTGAGTTGAGCTTGTTCACAAAGTAGCACACAAAACATTTCAAGCTTATTTCCAAAGTGAAAGCAAGTGAAAGTCTCAGAAGATATTTCCAAAATATTCATATCTTTCTTTTTATAGGACAGAAATGTAGCTTTGTCTATGATATGGATTTCTCTTCTAAATCTGTTTGTTGGAATGTCCAGTTGTTGCTTCTAACCAAGATTTTAAGTTACAGAATGAAGAGAATAATAGAAAATTTAAATAATAATAATAGAAAATTTAAAAGAACATTGGTAACAATTTTGTTAATGATCTGAGTTATAAAAAGGAACTTGAAGCAAAATGTTTATTTTTCTACATGCTTAACAATTAGAAACTAATCTTTCCTTAAAGCTCCCCAGCTTTTTTTTTTAACTGTGTGGAGGGTACCATAGCTAGTTAATGTATGTAGACAGGAATGTGGAGTTGTTATGGGATTTCCAGTTACTATGATGTGTAACTTCCTGAATATCTTTTATCAAGATGCAATTTGTTCTAAACTAGTCAGGAATTGTAGCAGAAATCATTACTTTGGTGTTTTTTCTCAAATTTTCAGGATTTCAGTGCCTTCATGGAACCAATCATAAGCTTAGCCATATTGACCTTCACAGCAACTATGTAAACAATATTAATCACTTAGTTCAGTGCACAAAGGGGCTGTGCAGTTTGACACATCTGACACTGGAAAAAAATGGAAAAGCCAATCCAGTTTGTCACACAGCAGGTATGGATCTCAGGTAGATGCTTTGTACTCATTAGGTCAGTGGTTTCTCTAAACTGTAAGCCAGGTTCTGACACTTATTTATTTGTTCATTAACCAGCCAGCTTGCAGAAATCTAACTTCTAACAAAACTAATCTGTTTCCAGTTTAAAAAAAAAAAAAAAATTCTCTTCACCCCCAGCATATTATCAAAATTGTCATTTGTTGTATGCCTTGATAAGGCTCAGTTTTTCACATTTTATTTTGGGTTAAGGTGGGAGATAGACAAAGAGTGATGGGAAAAGAAGGTATTGCAGAAATTGGAGAACAGGAGTATTATATGGTGGGTGGGTGGAGAATTTGAAGAATGTACAGAGAGATATTGAGCTATGTAGAAAAAGGACAGGCATGGTAAGTAGATGGTCTTCTACTGAGAGAGGTCAGAAGAGGAAGATCAGTAATAAGCACTATTAGCCTTTCCTTCTTTTCCCACAGCTTCAGAAAGTAGTGATGGACTCTATGATGCTCTGCAGTAATTAGCATTTTCATCAAAGTAGTAGGCAAGGATTTCACTAGGCAGCGTGGAGACAAGCTGGAGAAATGCATGTGGATATATCACTTTCAGTGTCATTGCCTAGAGCTTCTTGTTTTGGTATAGGGTTTTTGTGTCCTTTAAATGTTACAGCCGGTGTTCACAAGTTAAGTTCATCCTGTCTTGGTGCAGGTCTTATTTGTGTATAAGAGAGGGAAAATCTACAGGAAGGTGGAAGTGGGGGCTTGATACTTTTGGTGTAGCTCAAAGAGAATTTCATTATGAAGAGCAGAATAGTAGGAATTATATTACGAAATAGCAATCATATTATGAGCACGCAACTGATAAAGGTGTATGTGTACAGTTCTTGGAGATAATTGAGGGAAGACAAAAAAGGACCTAGGTAATGTTTTCAAAAGCACACATGAATGAGTTTTACAGAGGTATTCAGGCACCATGAAAGCAGTAACAGGACTGTTAAAGTTATCTGGATAACTTAGAAAATTACACTATTTTTTTCTGTAAGCGTTTTGCATACCTCTTCATATCTACCTCTGTGGTGGCACTTTTGGAACTACAGTGTTCAGAAGCCCAAATTCTATTCATTTAAAGAAATTTCATTTCGATGTCTTGCAGTTTCATAATTGCTTATTTCATTCACGGAAAAAGGATGACATTATTATCAAAGGATGACATTACCTAAGCCCTGTCTGAACTTGTCTTTCCATGACTGTGTCTACCCTAGCACTTGATAAAACTGTTTTGGTGCAGTAAGCTGATACTAAGTTTGTCCATGCAACTGCTGTGTGCTGGTGGTGGGGGGGAAATGCTCATATAGACCAGGAGTAGGCAGGCAGTTTCCCAGTCAACTTGTTTTTTAATGCCTGTCAAAAGCCTTATGGATGGGGAAAGGCAAGACAAGGTAACTCACTACACATTTTTGTTCTGTTACAAATCCAGTGAATAATTTGTTTAGTGCATTTTATGTACCCCATCATCTTCTTTGGGGATTTATTTCAGTTTAAATGCACTTTGTTTTCCTCAAGGTTATAGAGAAATTGTTCTTCAGATGTTGCCACAACTAACAGCTCTAGATGGAAGAAATACTTCTGGTGACCCAGTGGGCCCAGCAGAAAAAAAATGTTCAGATTTGCAGTGTTTAGAAGACATCTGGAGCTGTTTGGTTTCACCTGGGTGTCCCTCATCCAAAGATCAGGTGCTGTAGATTCTGTGTACTGATTTGCAAATGGATCTTTTTTTTTTATATATATTGCATTGTAACTCATTAATGTTACAAGGGTTGTCTTTCCTTTTGATAGAGCTATGTTAGCTTACCAGTAGTGACACCACATATCGACCAGGCATTAGCTCATTTCCATCAGCGTACAAAAATACCAGAACAAAACTCCATCAGCTCCTCTACAGAGCTTGTCTCATCTTCAGAACCAGAGAAGGCTGAACTTGTTAAAATATACAGTGAGATGAGAATTAAAAAAATGGAAGACCAGATTTCACAGATACTGCAAAAGGTGATTTTTTTTTTTTTTTTTCTGTGATTGTACAGAAAATTTTGTTTGTAAAATGAGGTTTACCTTTTGATAATTCAAAAGCTAACTGGGACAGACTGGAGCATTTCTACTGCTATGTGTGTGCTGACTTAGTGCTAATGTGTTCTTAATAATTATGAGAAACAGGGAATAAACCAAAACCAAGTCTTTAAAACTGAGTAAGTCACAAAAACTTTCATACTGAGTAAAAACCATAAGGTATGGAATTAGGGCATACTGTATTAGAAAATTGTTTTCTGTTTTTTTACCCTGAAGCCATCAATATAGTAAGTGAACCATAATAAAATATGAAATGCAGCAAAATATCTGGATTATAGAGTTGGTGAAAATTTATTTCACTAGTTGGTCCGATACGTTTGTCAAGTGTGTTTTTGTAACTGCTTGTGGTGTATGTTACATGTTTGCAAGGTGGCTTTGGTTTTAAGTGCTGTTTGTTCCACATTTTGGTCCAAGCTTCTGTGCCTAAGGATTTTACCAAATTTCAGGTGTTTCAAAAAGGTGTTTTCAGAACTGTGTGTTCTCAAGCATGCTGTTCTGTTGGGCTTATTTTAACTTGAAAACAATTAAAGGTTTTGTTCCCTCCCTACAAGGAGGGGAGGGGTTGTTCAGAAGCAATTAATTACTTTTCTATCAAAATTATTCTGTGTAAACTTTAAAAGTAGCATCTGAATAAGTATTAGAAATTAGCCAATTAGAAAGGGTAATATGCTCAGATAAAACTTCTATCTGTTTTTAGGTATCTGATGCCTCAGGAAGGGAAGCTTCTCCAAGTGGTCTCAAAGCTAAGAGAGACACAGATCCAACTTCTGAGAGCGAAATTGAGAGCAGGAAAGAGAAGAATAGAAAGGTTACAAAAAGAAGCAAGCTCTCTGCTTACCATAGAACTACATTACCTACGAGGTGTCATGTGCATCCCCTCAAGAACAAAGTAACTGACAGGTATCCCAATGTTTGCCATGTATGAAGCCAGAATGAATTAAGCTGAGTATTGTCAGAGTGAATGTAGTTTAACTTGAAACATTTTGCTGAAAGTGGTAGGTTAGGTAAATTAGCTCTGCTAATAGTGCTCTAGAAATTATTAGCTACTGAGGCTTCACTCAGTCATTTCAGTATATAAGCATTTTTTGTCTTTAGGCAAAAAGAAAATTGCACTGAAGATTCCAAAACACTTTCAGAATTCTAACAGCTTACAGTTTCATCTTTGTTTTAAATTATGGTGACAGAAGTGAGTTACTAAAAGAATAAAAGATTCATGGTGTCAGAACGGTAGTCAAGAATGTAACTGTCTGTATTTTGTGATGAAACTGAGGATGTCATGGTAATTTGCTTGATTCATGTAGCAAATATCAGAAGTGATGAGTAGAAGATGATATAAGTTGGAATATATTAGTTTAGTCAGCCAGTGCAGTTCTACAACTCCTGCTTTTTTAAAATTGTTTTATGTCTATGATCAGGAGTTTTTTCAGATACCATCTACTAGTACTACATACTTTTTTACAGCTGAAGATTTGAATTTAGCTGTTTTACAATCTGCTTGCAAATTATTTTCTACGTAGTTTTGAACCTCTCTAAAATTCAGCTTCTACAAAGAACTGTAAAATTTTGTTCTGGAAAAATGTCTGAATCCTCTGTTATTGTTTAAACCTTGCATGTTTTTAACTATACCTTGATGCCCTGCTATTACAGGGAAGAGAAGAAGAGTTCCTCAAAGTGTTCATACTCCAGTCAGACAGACTCTCATCTCAGTTCATCATCAAATACTCGATACTTGGAAGTAGTGGGAAAGAAAGCTGAAATGCTAACTGGAAGACAGAACAATATAGAAAAAGTAGAAGAAATTAATTCAAATGCCACAGAGGAATCAACATACCGAGTATGTTTTGCATCATTTCAAGTGAAATATATTTTCACCTGAAGCCAGGCATATGTCTCCTGGTGAAACTTTAAAATTGGACGTGACAAAAAATAATTGCATGTAGATACTATCAAAAAAATAGTGGAGTTCTTGCAGTGTCAGCTGGAAGAAAATTTATTTTATTTCGTTTCTATGGGGTTATTTGGCCTGGTCGCTTGCACTTTCCCCTATCCTCCATGAGTTCCAGAAAGACAAAAAAATCTTATTCTACAGTTATGAATATTATTTGTAATTTTTGGCTACACTTCAGTGTTTCCTAGTAAATTGATGCTTACCATGTACTTGCTAAGGTGCTGATTCAGGAACTGGATCAGGAGAAAGAAAGGAGGCGGAAAGCAGAGCAAGCAGAGAAGAAATTAATAGAGCATGTCAGAGAGCTACAGAAACATGCAAAAGAAGAAAAGAGTCTTCAGAGTATGGCTGTATACACTACAGACAGGTAGGGAAACAGTGCTGCAGTATAAGAGTTTGTTGTTTGGTTGTTGGTTTTTTTTCATTTAAGACAATTCAATTTATAGTCTTAAGAAAGCAGAACAGCTTTAAACAATGTACTTGGAAAATAATGCAGCAAGAAGTAGTGATAAAATTTCTCTATTACCTAATGAAATTCCTTTCTTCCTGTTCTTGTCTCAGAACAGTATTGGTATTCTAGCCATTATTTTCCAAGCAGTCTGTATCATAATTGTTCAGCACAGGCTATAGTGGCTGTCTCATGCTCATACTTTTGGCTTCCAATTTCCAGTCTTCCTTTCCATCTACAGTGATTGGTTTGGCGTTTTTTTGGGTTCTTTTTTCCTGCACAGTGCGCTTGAACAAAGATGTTTCTGGCAGAGCAGAGTTGTCCAACAGGCAATATTCTGTCCTGGTCAGGCCTAGTATATCTTCCTACAGACTGCTGTTATCATCCTTGTAAGTTCTGAGCAGCATTGTTTTTTTTTAAAAAAAAAAGTTCTCCCTCCTAAGAGCATTGTTTGTTGTTGGCTGTAATTGGAGATGTCTGTTCTATTTGTCTTAACTGCATTGTATTTATCAAAGACCCATTTTCTTTTGTGTAAGGAAGAAACAAGCCAAATGCTTCCTGAGTTACCATTTTGTGACTGGCTGTGATTATTTCCCATTTTTTTCCTCTGTTTTAGGTTCACTTCTGCCTTTTATTTATTACCACCTTAAATAAGAGGCTTATTATGTTCCTTTTATTGTAAGATAGATCTTGTATCAAAAATTATTAGAGCATTAAAGGATATTACAATTTTTTCTGAAGAAAATTATTAAATTAGAAATTGTTAACATGTTCAATTTCTGTATAAAGAAAAATGATACTGGAATGCCATTTTCTTGAAGAACCTGTCTCTAGCCTTGTTTCTTTTAAAATGAAGCTCAATATAGTGATGCTGTGCACAGCTTCAGAAATATTTTATATATCTTTTAACAGTTTTACATGGCAGTGCTTTAAATAGTAAAACTCATCAAAGAACAAGATAGGGTACTACAATGCTTACTGATGTGTTTTTCTCAGTGCATTTGACATCACCCTAAATAATAAAATATTTGTAATACAACCCTATTGCATTTATTTTCAGGCTAAAGGAACTGATATTGAAAGAGAGAAATAATAAAGCAAGACTGCAAGCAGATGTACAACAGTTGAAAGGTGAAACTGAAAGACTTACTAATGAGTTAAATCAGGCAAGAAATAAAGAAGCAGAATATCAGAAGGCCATACAAGCTTTAGAAGAAACGCTATCTAAGAAGGAGACACAGCGACTGCAGCAACGAACAACAGAGGTAAATATTTTTCATGGGTAAATAATACATAAATAATACAGTATCAACAGGATAGCTACTGTAATCCTAGATATCAAGAGACACTAGATTTTACAAGCCTTAAGTCTGAGTTTTCCACAATAGAAGCTGGGGCTTTTTTTTTCATCATAATCATATTTAATAATAAGTATCCACTTTAATTGTCAGTTAATGTCTCTTACAAATAGAGGTATGTCATGTGATGTGGCCTTAAGGTAAAGGAGAGCAAGTCCTGTTAACATGGAGAGTTGGTATTTTCTGACAATATTCAGGAATAACAAGTTTTCTAAAATGTTGCTGAAATCAATAATGATCTTACTATGAGGATGGAAATCTGATAGTTCTGTTTTACTGATTTAAAGAATTAAATGTTTTTAATTCCCACCAGAAAAAAAAAACAAATTAAAGTGGTTTTGAGTTTGCTTTAAAGATGAGAACATAATGATGATTTTTTTTTTTTTTTTTTTTTTGGCAGAGGTCCTCTGTTCAGTGTACAAATACATAACATGGAAGATGCTGAAGCAGATATTGCCACTGTATCTAACATAATAATTGGTGAACTTTCAGTGGCCAAATGCTGCATCTACCAATATCTATTCCAATTGTTTGATTATATTCTTATATTAGCCCATTCCTTTGTCGCTGAAAAACTTCTGAACCACTAGTATGGTGCTGTAGGAAATCTGATCATTCAGATACCCTGAAAAGAAAAAGAACTGGGGAGTTTGCTGACAACTGATCTCCAAGTGCTATTCAAGTTACGAAGTAGCCATCCTTGGCTTCAGGCTTCTGTTTAGGCACCTGAGTATCGCTTCCATTTTTTTTTTTCCTTACTTGTAAATACCCAGAAGCTGTTATGGATCTGGAAGTGACCTTCAGTTTAGATCAGATACCTGCTTGTCACTTTGAAAAGTACCAAATTTAGTGATTTAGAGGAGAGTGGTTGCTTTTTTCATTTGGTTTGGGTTTCTTTTTTTCCTTTCCTATAAGGAAGAAAATACCTTATTGGTGTATGAGGTTTTTAATTTTCTTTTAATGAGTTTGTAGGCATAAGTAGTCTCTTTGATAATAGTAGCATCATTTTTATTAACTGCAAAATTTAATTAAGTTCCTGTCTCTAAGATCCTGTAGCAAATACTCTTTAATTATGTTTCGAAGAATAATCATGGTGCTCTAGAAACTAAACTCTCTTTCTGAATGTTCAGATTTAATATACCTTTGGCCTATTTTATCAATGCCAAGATTAACAAATTTTACAATATTTTATAAAGCTTTCTTCTAGTACACATTGGTACTTAGTTTTGGGGTAAATTTTGGTTACTCAGGGTAGTCACTACTTAAGGACTTCAGTCAATATTACTAGATTACTTCTGTAAGGGATTCAAGATAAACAAGCTAAATGCATCTAAATGTGTAAATATTTTCCAGAAGTCTTTAAATTTACATGTATTCTCACTGGAAATCTTTGGGTTTAAGTGTTTCAGTTTTGGAGAAAATTGCTTTACTTAATCCACAAAACAACAGCAGTACAGTGGGGCACATGAAGAGGTTTAATATGGGAACTTAGTTTCATATTCAAGTCTCGCAATAATTTTCATACAACTGAAGTTAATGTGTGAATTTTAGGTATCTCCGACATTCTCAAGCTGGAACTCATATCATGCAGCAGCACATATGTATCTTAAGGATATATATAATAAGCACATATGTATCATTGCAGGCAATGATGAACATTGAAAACAATGTTTTATTCATCAGTGCAGGACATTCAATACAGCTCTTGATTTTTTGTCTTTCATTTTGATCTTTCAAAAATTCAGCTGAGGGGGACAGTTGTGACAGAATTGGAAGAAAACTATTTGGGATTTTATTTTTTATTTTTTGTTTTGTGAGGGTTGCAGGGGGGTGTTTGTTTTCTTGTGAGTTGGAAAGTAAACTAGGTTGTATCTTGTATTCTAGCTCTGCCATTAGATTACTGACACTTAAGACTAATCGATTTGATAATCACAGAATTGATACTCTTGAAAGCAAAGACATAAAACTTGTGTAAGTACAAAATGTGAGGACCCTTTGCTTAGGACAGGTTGACAAGAAAGTTAAGTTGTTACTTCTCACTGCTTGAGCACAAAAGGCTCAAGATGAATGCCACAAGTAATGATGAGGAGTAAGAATATCTTCATTAACATCACCTCTGCTGTTTCTGTGACATGTGCTAACTTGGAGCCTTCTGAAGTGTCTTGATTCTGAATTACCATTTCATGAGTAATTAAAACCTTTTTTATAACTTTTTTCATATCTTTTTATTCCTACTTGCTGAGTTAAAAAATACAGCTTGGTTTGTATATGGCTTCAAATTACAAAATTCATAAAAGCTTGCATTAAACAGAAAAAGCAGAGCATGCCACCTGGTGTTTATACTGATTCTTCATTTTTTCCTAAAATCATTAGATGCAACTCTGTTCAGCAATTTTAAACATATAACTAGGAAATATACAGATTTTTGTAACTGTGTTTAAAAAAAGTTATATTGAATACATACAAATGTTTTGCTTGAAACTAATGAAATTATTACAATATGAGAGTTTGTAATTGAGCAAATCATTCTGCCAATCAATATGTGTTCCACTTCTGCAAAACATTCTCAAGTTCTTTATAAATTAAGCAAATGTTCTTAGTTCCTCATGAAAGTTGCTTTTTTCTGTTGTAGTAAGTTAAGCAAAGATATAATATTAGACATCTTGTCTGAAATTTCTGCAAGTGTAAAATACACAGTAAATAAAACAACAAACAGGACAAAGGAAAAAAAAAAAGACTTCCCTTGTCTTGAGCTAGGTAACATAATAAAATTCCATAAAATTTTATGAAAAATCCTGACATTTGTGGAGCCCAGGTAGATATGTATGACACTGTATTAAAGCACCTGCTCCTGGATATTCTGGTATAAGACATAAAGAACAGATTTCAGTTTTAAGAAAATCTTCGTGCTCTCTTTATGAATTCTACATAGATGAAACGGGTGCAAGAAGCAGAGCTTAAAGCGTCAGCAAATGAAAGGGAAGTACAGTTACTTCGAATATCCTTCCGACAACAGAAGGAGAAGGTAAAACAACTACACGAACTTCTTATATTAAGAGAGCAAGAGCAAAGGTATGGGATCCTCTGTTTTCACTAATAGAGATGCTAGTGTTGCAAATATGTCTTGTTTAAATGTGTTCTGCAAAGTGCCAATGTGTGTTTGTGGGTTCAGGATTGTTTTTGGTTTTTTAATGGGAGAGATGGTCTTTGTAAGAATGTAGATGTCTTCCCACCCATTTTCTTGCTTATTTAAGAGTATCTTCCTATCTTGTAGATTCCTGACTCATAAGTCCATGTAGGTAACTGTGCTCTTCCAGCCTTTCATTTGATAGGCTCTTTTCTTATTCTGTGGCTGAACTTTTTATTTTAAATACTTGATCTTTAATCCAGAAAATAATCAGATAAAAAAATCACATTCAAATTATTGTCTGAAGAGCTGATCTGCATATATACAATAACGCAGTGTTCAAAAAACCAGCATCTTCCTCTCAAAATTTTTTTTTTAAGTGTACTTGAAGATAAGTTCATACCATTTAGTTAATACAATCACATATATGTACTAACTAAAGAAACAAGTGGTGTTTCAATTTACAAGGCTAAATGTATTCAGACACCAAGGCAATTGAGAGTTTAGGTGGGAAGAATCCAATAGCTGTGTTTTGAGATCTCCAATTATTATCTCAAATCTCCAAAAGATAAGATGTAGTGTGAAGGACAGTGGATGTGTTTTCTGTTTGTGCTTTAAAGCAGATGAACAGAATAGTCTTAAAGTACAAGGTACTTCTGCTTCAACATTCTCTTCCAGATAGGAAGGAGGCTTATCCTGGAACCCTTTAGGTCCCCATTGCTTCCGTTTTTCAGGTTTTGGGCCTGAGTGAGAAGGAAGAGTCTAGTGTGAGGGTGAAGAGAATGACTGCAAAAGAGTGTATCTGGCTGTGGAGTGCTTTTTCCCTATTCCACGATCTCTTCCAGATTTTTGTTATCAGCTAAGCAAACAAATGCTAACTAATAGCAAAAGAGCAATTGAACAATTTCTACAAAAGTCTGAATTAAAAAGATTATCCCTTCGGGTGTTTTAACAGTAGTCAACACTTTTCCTTATCCCTGAGCCATTGTCATAGAAGACTGAAATCTGTCTGTGAAACTAAGGAATTTATCCCCTATATTATGTAATTTGTTATCCTTTTTAAGAAATACTAAGGAAATTATTTGAAACAGCTGTGAGATACTGCAGGTCTTGTCTCAAGCATATGTTTGATAACTTCAGGAAAGAACTTGAAACCCGAGTTGCTTTAAATGGACCTGAATTTCAAGATGCTTTGTCAAAAGCAGTGGCTAAAGAGGAACAGAGGCATGAACAGCATGTTAAAGAGTTTCAGGAGAAAATTAATATGTTAAACCAGAAGTACAAAGAATTAGAAGATGAATTTCGTTTGGCTTTAATTATTGAAGGAAAAAGGTTTAAAGAGGTAAGACAAAAAAAACATTTAACAGCAATCTAGGTGGAGTTGTAGTTCTCTCAAATTTGTTTGGTTTGAGGTGTTGGGGGTTGCTTTTGGGGGGAGGAAGTGGTTTGGTGGGTTTTTTGTTGTTTTTGTTTGTTTTGCTTTTTTTGGTTGGTTTGGTTGGGGGTTTTTTGAGGTATCACCAACAAACTGGTAGAAAACCAGTTTAAGATACTCACTAATTTCAAGTACTGTTGATGAACTTATATTTCTTCCTTTGTTTGAAATTGAAATGGCATTTGTGTGTATGTGTACACATTTTTTCCAAATGTTAGCAGTTTTCAAGTCTTGTCTTTATAAAACTTTAGGTGAAAGAGGGTTTTGAAAATGTTACTGCTGATCTAGCTGAACATAAACAAGCTGTCTTTGAGTTTGAACAAAAGGAAAAAGAGATGACAAGTGTGATCCAAGACCTTACAAGCATAGTGAAAGAACAGAAAGCAAAGATAGCAGAACTAACAAAAGCAAAGGAAGAAGCTACAGCAAACCTAAAGGTACTTGTTTCAAAACATTTCAACTGCATATATGATTTTTTTTGTAGTATTTTATTTGTAAAAGTTAGCAATGCCATACAAGGTAGGTTGACATGTTTCCTGTTGCACTAAAACCTAGCACTCCACATCAGCCTGTATTCATGCATCCTGCACTTCAATTTCTTAAACACACTGCTCCACATGTAGCAGAATCTAGACTCACCCATCTTCAGAAGTGCACTTCTTCCCGTGTGGGCAATACTATTTTATATATAATCAAGTGGTCACTCTAAACTGAGAAGTCAAAACCTTAATGAATAGCCCTGACCTCTTTATAAATTCAAAATAATGAAACATGGTTCTGCAGTGGTCACTGTATGTGAAGTAACAATGAAATTGAACAATCAAGAGTAATTATTAACAGCTTAATATCTCAGAGTTGCATAAAATTAGCAGTATTAGTAATTACTTTCTTATTGCCTGATGTTAAAATACTGTGGGCACAATTGCTTTATCTTACACTACTGATTAACATTATAGTACTACCTTGTTAAATCTTAAAAATCTTAGGAACATAACTTTTAAACCATTGTGTGATCCAGCCCATCTTTGTATTAAAACTTCTGTGCAGTGCAGCCCCTGCACTGTTTCTCATCTCCTCCGTACATGTTGGTGGTGTCCAAACATTGGACAGGATAGCATCCTGCCAGTCAGTGGTGCTGCTACAAAGTTAAATAACTGTATTAAGCACCTGTAATCTGTAGCCTGCATAACTGAAGATAAATCTTTATCATAGGGAGTGGGAAGTTCATCCCAGCTTCTGTTTTCTTTTAATTTGTTTTTTAGTGTCTTAACTAGACTTTCTATTTCTTTTCTCTCTTTGGGTTTTTTTTGGTGTTTTCCTTTTTTTTGTTTGCTTGGGTTTTTTTAAAGTTGTGCATTTATAATTCTAAACAGGCTTTTCTAATGGTATTGATAATTTAAGGTGGCTGTTTAGAAATCAGCTTTACATTTTTCTGGTATCTAAGTGTGTCTATTTGAAGCAAACATTTGTGTTTTATTTCTGGGAAGAGATGCAGATAGAACCCTATATGCAAGCAGAATATTCTTCAGTTAACTTAATTTGCTGCAAATAAGCGTTGCTTTCCTACCACTTAGTAGTGATTTGAAATTTTGAGTACCTGTTTTCAAGGATCTTACTGTCTTTTTTCCAATGTTCATTTATACAGTGTCAGACTGGAGAACTTGAAACTGTAGTCAAGGAGGACAAACAGAAGGCTGCCCAGGTTGAGCTTCTGAAAAAAGAAAATGGAAAGCTTATTTCCCAGCTGACAGCCCAGGAATCTGTGATTGATGGGTTAAAAATGGAAAGAAAAATATGGGGGCAGGAGTTGGCACAACAGGGTAAATTTTTTTTTTTTTTTTTCAGAAAAGAATGGTGATGTTCAGTGTCATACCTTTCACATAAACACTCCATTATAGTTATAACCATGATCTCTGGATCTTACTGATCTCTGTTGATCTTACCTAGTTATAAAGATATGCAAAAGTAGACGTTCTGTAGGATGCAGATCCTTATAGGAACTCTAACAGCAGTTATAATAATTGTGGGAGATAGTTATAGATGCAGTTTATCTGTTTAACCTAAATGTCAAAATACCTTAATATTATACAAAGAACTTTCAAACATGAAGTTAGGAAAACAAGGATTTGTAAATAGTGTTACATAATGCTGCTTGTCTGTCAGATAAATCTAATGTGAAAATTTCAGTATATATCTTAAGAAGTGTTAAATACTGGGTGAAATAAAGCTTGGGCTTTTTTCATTTTTCTTATTGACATGACTCAGCACCACCTTGTGGGTTCTTTGAGACTGGCTGGGTCTGCGAGAAATACTGTTGACTTTATCCTTTGAAACTCTGATAAAAAGGTAGACCTTCAGTTCTACATGTCCTCTCAAGTGTTACCTGCCTACAGATTAAAGCTCTACAATGTTTCCAGTGGGCAAAATGGTCATGTTTGTTTTTTAAGGTAGTTCTTACTTTTGCCTTCCTCCCTTATTATATATCTTGAACTTACCTGTAAAATGAATGCTATAGTGTCAATACGCTGTTTTATCTAGGAGCTCATCTTGCTCAAGATCGGGGAAAACTGGAGGCAAAAATTGAAGTTTTAACGAATGAGATTGAAATGTTAAAAAAGCAAAAGGAACAGGACAGTGATACTATAAGAATTAAAAACAAAATAGTGGATGATCAGACAGAAACAATTAGGCGATTAAAAGAAGTAAGTGCCATGTCTGACAATTTGTGTGCTTAGCTAAAACTAAGGTGTGCAGTGCAAGTTATAGTAAAGGTTGTGATAAAAGCTGACTGCCCTCCTAGTTTACCAACTTGGAAAGCACCATTAGGCTGACAGTGGCAGCTAATTTCACAGAGAGCAGAAGAGGGCCTTATATAAACTTGATGTACAGAGATGCTACTTTGAATCTTTCACTGAACCTGTTTATGTAAAGACTTTCTTTTTTGTCTCACTTTGAGCTACTTTTGATAATGATTTTGAGAGAGGAAAAATTAGGATGGCATATAGCATTCTTCATGTGAGTTTAACAGAAAAGTAGAAGATTCTTGAAGAGATTGCTTATTTTACTATGTAAATATTTTTTCTTTATCTTCTTGTAAATCACTGTTTTAACAGCAGAGGTACTATGTTTTAATTCATCTCATTTAGAGACTTCAGACTATCAATCAGAGCAAACAGAATGTGAACTCAATGATTTGTATATGTAGAATAAGTTGTATTAGAGCTGTAAACAGCTTTTGTCATAACTTGCTTTCAATTTCAGATTTATGTTTTGATGATTAAGTACTTTTCATATAATAATACATTTAGGACAGCAAGCTTTCATATGTTCCTTTCTGCTTCATTCCACCTTAGACTAAACAGATCCTGTTAAAGGGTGCCAATAAAGTTAAAGTGAAGGGTGTTCATGTTCTAAAATATTTTATCTTCTGAAGGGCTTACAAGAAAAAGATAAACAAATCAGAAAACAGCACGAAGAAAACCTGAAAGCTCAAAAATGTTTTCAAGTACAGTTGGATGAAAAAGCTGCTGAAATTGAAGAGCTAATGGAAAAAATAGAAAGGCAAAATGGAAGAAAAGAGGAATTAAAGCAACTGCTAGAAAAGAAAGAAGTAGAACTTGATGACATTAAGGATGCATACAGGTGATACTTACAAGCGGCAATAATTTGTGATTATGACTGTGCAGCACTGCTCTGAAGTTATTCCATGTTCAGAGAGTACTTGCTTGCTATTAAAACCCACAGAAATATGGAAAAATGAAAGCATGGGAAACCTTTTTTTCAGCCCTCCTAGGTGGTCTCTACACTCATTGTAAATATGTGCGTTTTATTTTCAGTGCACTGAAAATTAAGTGGCAAGGTAAAGAAGAAATATTAAGTCAGCTGGAGGTGCAGGTTAAACGAATGAAGGAGAACTTTGATATCAAAGAGAAAAAGCTGATTGAGGAGAGAGATAAAAGTCTTCAAACTCAGAGGTGAGCACCTTAATAGCTTATTTTGTGACTACGTAGTTATTATAGAGTTGCACTGTTTATAAGTATGCAAAAATGTTTGATTATATGGTGAAGGGATGCATAGTAAGTACTTGGTGGGCAGAGTCAGTGCAAAGTCTGTGTGTGTAGAAGTAATTCTTACTATACAGGTAACTTACTTTGTGGAACTAGAATTCAGTTAAACATTCCTCCTGTAAACTTCTTAGCTGTGTTCCCAATTTCTTTGAATAATTGGAGCCTACATTTGTTCCTCCCTAGTATGCCTGTTCCACCACAGTGCTTTTGTTTTTTTTCAGTGAGGAAACTCCATGTTACAATTACATGATAGAGACTCTCTACAGGCATCACACATGCTGGCTGGAGTCATGTAGTGAAGGTGCTTGCACACGAGGCACGGTCTGCAGCAGGGTTTCTTTGAGCATGAGCCTGTAACCCTTCCAGCTCGTGACCTGGATTCGTGGGTTGCAAATCACAGGTTGATGCCTGTAGCCAGCACTTGGGCTTACAAGAGAGGCCACGGTATTTCATTATGCAGGATGATGGAAATAGCTTGTGTACTTTATAGGAAATTAAGGGCAGATCCTCAATATTTATCACAACAATACTAATAAATCACAGAATCACAGATTCGTTTAAGTTGGAAAAGACCTTTAAGATCAAGTCCAAACGTTAACCCAGTACTGCCAAGTCCACCACTAAATCATATCCCTAAGTGCCACATGTATGCACGTTCACCCTTTTGGTGAAGAAATTTTTCCTAATATCCAGTCTAAACCTCCTCTGGTGCAATTTGAGGCCATTTCCTTTCATCCTATTGCTTGTTACTTGGGAGGAGAGACCAACACCCACTTTGGAACATCCTCCTTTCAGGTAGTTGTAGAGAGGGATGAGGTGCCCCCTGAGTCTCTTTTTCTTCAGGCTAAACAGCAGTTCCCTCACAAACACTCTTTTTTCACCAGGCAGCTTTCCAGCCTCTCTTCCCCAAGCCTGTAGCATTGCATGAGGTTGTTGTGGCCCAAGTGCAGGACCTGGCACTTTGCCTTGTTGAGCCTCATGCTATGGGCCACAGCCCATTGATCCAGCCAGTCGTGACCCCTGTGCAGAGCCTTCATATGGTCAAGCAGATCAACACTCCCATGAAACTTGCTATTAACATTTCAGTCTGTGACAAACAGACTGCTTATAAGTTACCTCTCATTCCTTTCCCATAGAGGTAGCAATAGGTTTTTTATTTATTTTATTATTCCTCTTGTACTGTCAATCTTTAATTTTTTTAAGCAGTTAACAGTAAATATGAGATGATACAGAAGAAAATACTTATAACCCAAAAAATAGTCATGGACTTGGATGATGCTCAGTTATTTCAAATGCGTCTGGCATTATGGAGATGTATGGTAGACTACTGCCTGTGATAAGCTTAGATTGCTAGTGTGGTTTTTACTTTATTCTTTGGCCCCTATCTCTTATTTTATTTCCTTCCTCCCTCCTAACTATTCTTAGGAAAAGATTAGCTATTTAATAAAACTGTATATGTATCTAGCAGTGATAACCACACTGTTACTGAAGTAATAAGCTAGTATGACTAAGGCTTTTTTGCTTTACATTTTTTAATTGAACACATTGATTAATTACATTTTATTTATTATTTAAGGAAGGTCATGTGATTAACAAATGAAAGAAAATACCTTTATGGTTAAGTTTAATTTAAAACAAACAAAAAAAAACAAAAACAAACAAAAAATGGCCACTTCAAATAGTCAGTGGTATCATGTGTTGGAAGGTCTGGAGTGAAACTGAAATTTTGTCCCAGATAATTCTGTTCTGTTTCAAAATTTCATTGTAAATTAATTGCATAGTGGAATAATTTGTCTTGCTTTCTGTTGCTACTTATTTTAGAATTAATAAAAGCAGAATTTGCTTGAAGCCAGGGAAAGGCTTCACTACTGTGAAGCAGGTGCTTTTCTATTTCTGTAAGAGATGGGCTTACAGTCTGTTTACAGGATCACATAGTTCAGTCATTGTCTTCTCAAGAATCAAAAACATAAGTATGTGTTGGAAAACGGGTGGAGTTCTTATCCATGTTGACAGTAGCAAGCCTGAATCTTTCTGTTGTTAGTGATTAAATGCTTCTAAGAGGAATGCCAGAAGCCCTACGCATGGTGCATAGATCTAGAACGTGTACTTGAGAAAACAGGACATCTGGAGCTAGATATTGCAATAACTGGTTTTTATGCCTATGTTATTAAAACCTTATCAAAGGCAGAATTAGACAAAACAAAATACTTCAGTTGTTTGCAGGACTGTGATTTTTATTTTTTTTTTTTTAATCTTTTTAGGATTGCTGTGGAAAAGCTTCATGAAATGGATGATGCTTTCAGAAAACAACTTGGGTCAATGTTGGTAGCTCATCAGGAAGAACTATTGCAGCTGGCAAATGAAAAGGAAAAACAAATTGAAGCAGCAAATGAAAAAGTAATTTTAGTACTAAATTTGTATGTTTATTGCATTTGCATTTTTGTTCTGCAGCTGCTAAAACGGTCCTTGGAATTCACTTGTCTGTATCTATTCAGCTAGTCTCTGAATGGAAATAGCCCTGGTTTAGTACTCAAACTTTGCACAGCCAGAACATCTCTAGAACTTGTACCATCAGGAGGTTCTGGATTCAAGTAAAGTGGCATGTTGTGTAGCTGGTTATGAGGCAATAGCTAAACATTCCCTTACTTATACAGGCAAGAATAATGATGATTTTGCCATAAAGTCCACCTAATTCACCTGTGCCAGTGCTAACATATGTTCCTGTCACATACGCAATACGCCAAGATTGTATGAGTTTGGGTATATTAAGGAAAAGCAAGAATCCTATTTAATCGCTGTGTGCTCTTTCAGGTTTACTGTGTTGAAGAAGAAATGCGGCAGCTTCTGCAGGAAATGGCATACCATAAAAAAGCCATGGAAAATAAAATAAGACGACTTACACATGCACTGAATGATTTTCAACAAGATCTTTGAAAATTGTGTAACACACATTTTTAGTGTATATAGTAACAGATTTTAGCAAATTCATACATGACACTGCATTTTTCCTTGTTTTCTAGAGAATAAATTATTTGATATATTTTGATGGTTCAGGACTCAGACAAGTATTTTTACATTATTTTCATAATAAGTATTTATTTCTAATATTTGGTTATTTTTAACTTCTGCCAGAATGGGTCAAAACATATATAAAGGAAGAGCATCGTATTAGCATGTTTAATAAGAGGAAAAGAAGGTTGGGCCTTTGCTTCTAAAACAAGAGCCTGAACCCTTGCTTTCTTGGAGCAGAGATCCAAGAATGTACCTAAAAATACATTCGCTCTGCCATTGTTGATGGAGCATGCATGATTTCTGCAACTCAGAGTGGCTTTTTTGGCTGCATAGTTTGGTTCTCTACAGCAATAGGCTTCCTACCAGCTTTTGAAAAACAGGAGATAATAAGCTAACAGCTTTTTACAGAAACTAATCATCAGCTTTATGTTAATATGGCTGTTATATTTCTTTCATGAGGGAGAATTTACCGTCTCTGCTGTACTTGGGCATCTATTATATTTGCTTGTTCTTGGAACATCCTAAACTCTTGTTGCACTACACCACACTGAAGCATTTAATGCTGCAGTAGCAAGTAAAACACTTTTAGTAACCACGACAGGTACTTACTTGTTGGTACACCAGATGGAGCTATTTCTTGCCGTCTCCTACCTAAAGGAGAGTCCTAATGCTCCAATGAGGATGGAAGCCAACTTTACCATGGGCCTCTACAGAGCCCACTGCTGCAGTATAGCGGTACAGGTTCATCATTTTTGTGCCCAGTAAGAGCACCGTTGCTAGTAGGAGGTCCTGGCCTTTGTCTAACTGTACAAGGCCTGTTGGGCTTGTTATCAACTTGTTATGAAAGCTTGCTGTGTGAACAAGAGCTTAATACCAGCTCTTCTCATTATGAGGTGCAGCTGAAGCATGGGATGTAACAAAGTCCTTGAAAACATCAGCACAAGCTGAAAGTGGAGTACAGGGTTGCAAAAACAACTCACTGATGATCAGTGACTGGACTTTCATAAAGCACAGCCTTGAGAGCTGGGACCAGGCTGCTTTAGCTCTAAGAAAGGAAGAAGCAAAGCAAAATAAACACTCCAAAAACTGAATAAAGCGCCTCCAGTGGCATGGGAAATCAACAGCCCTTGCCCTGCTGTCCTGGGTTCAGCAGTAGCAGTCATTTTTTCTCCTTCTTAATAGCTGGTGCAGCGCCGTGTTTTGACTTTCAGCCTGGGAGCAGCGCTGATAACACCAATGTTTTTAGTTACTGCTCAAATGTTTAGTCTGACCAAGGACTTTGTGAGTCTCATGCTCTGGCAGGGAGGAGGGGAAGCCAGGAGGAAGCAGAGACAGGACACCTGACCCAAACTAGCCAAAGAGGTATTCCATATCACAGCACATCATGCCCGGCATGTAAACTGAGAGTTACCTGGAAGGGTGAGTTGACTGCCGGGGTCCGGCTGAGTATTACCGGATGGCGGGTGGTGGTATTGTATTCTCTTCCCTTGTTATTTCCATTATTATTATTATTGGTGGTAGCAGTAGTGATTTGTGTTATACTTTAGTTACTGGACTGTTCTTATCTCGACCCGTGGGAGTTACATTCTTTTGACTCTCCTCCCGATCCCTCTGGGAGCTGGGGGAGTGAGAGAGCGACTGCATGATTTATGGCTGAGCTTAAACCATGACACCTGCACTGCACAGTACTGTTTGTGGGGGGGAGGGCAGGGAGATGGCATGGGCTTATAAAGGGTAAAATTTCAGATCAGTGATTCACGGTCCAGAAAGGGAGCCCACCTGCTTTCTGCTATATGTACAGATACGGCCCTGACCGTGCTGTTACCTGTGTGAGTACAGCTGCTGTACAACACGGCGCATTCAGTGTAATGTCCCTTCACTCTATGCTCTGCTGCCACCTGCGATTGGGCATCTAAGGGGTCTTTTCCCTCACCAGCCCACCACCACCTGGCCTCTGGAGATGCGAGAACATAGTTTATAAAGAATCTAAATGGGCTTCTATCAAAAGCAAACGGTGGAGTGACGAAGAACTGCCGTGCAGGGCAGAGGCAGGCCTGAGGGGCACCAGGGCCCTGCCCGGCTCTCCCGGTTGGCGGCCGCGGGCAGGACAGCGCCTGTCTCCCGGGGGGACGGGCCCTGAAGCTGACCCTTCCTGCCCCGCGGCCGCCACCCCGAGGGGCGGGCACGGCCCTTTACCCTCCGGCAGCCCCTCGCCGCCTGCGGCCGAAACATGCCGGTGTCCAGGCAACAGCGGCGCCGTCACTTCCTGCGGCACCGCCCCTCCCGCCGCAGCCGTCGGGCCGCGGCTCCGTTCCGGGCTCGGGCCGTTACAGCGGTCCGGACACGTGGCGCTGCGGTGCGGCCCCGCAGGGCGGCATGGCCGCGGCGGCCGAAGCGGCGGGCGGTGGCAGCAGCAGCCGCCACGAGAAGAGCCTGGGGCTGCTGACCACCAAGTTCGTGTCGCTGCTGCAGGAGGCCAAGGACGGCGTGCTGGACCTCAAAGCGGTGCGAGGGCGGGGCTGGACGGCGCGGGGCCTGCCCGCGGCGGGGGAGCGGTGCACGGCCCCGCCGCGCTGCGGGACGGCGGCGCAGTGGCGGGGCGCCCGAGTTGGGCCGGGCCGGGCTAAACCCAAGCCCAGCCGGGCCGGCCCGGCCCCCTGCGCCTGATCTCTCCTTCCTCTCCTCCCTGAGGCGGTGGGGGTGCCCGGTGATGGCTGACAGCTGCCGCCGTAGGCTAAAACAGGCGTTCCGCCTCTTTTAAAGAGGGTGAAATGGTTACCGTGCATAAAATGTAGCTCGCTGGTTTATTGTTTAATTTATTTTGTACTCTCCTGCGTTGCTGTCTGCACTGACTCAGTGTATGGGCCTTTATTTAAGCCTATTTCTTGTCAGTCCCCCTCGATATCCTTTTAGCAAGGAAGAACAGTGTTGAAAACCAGGCCATCCCCTTTTTTAGTACTTTTAAAATCTATATAAAGCAGATATATATAAAAGATGCATAATTGGCGGGGTGTGTGGCAAATCGTCATCACTCACTTCTGCAGGCGGCCGC